TTCGACATCCATCGCGGATTCATCATCAGAGACATTAGCAGAAAACAGTAGCATTATATGAGTCACCATCCTGACACCAGAGGTAGTGGCCGATACCAGATACGTGTTTCACAGTTACGTTAACACTACGTAACACAGATAAAACGGGTTCAGTTGCTAGCGAAGGAGAAGACTTTTGGATCATCGGAATCATAATTTTACTTGTCTGAGCTTTCGGGCTCTTTCTGGAGTCCATCGTCAGAGATAAAAGGCTCTAACGAAATACAAGCAGCAGTTATAGCAGGCAGTGGCCAATCAACCATTATGGGGAGGGGGGAGGGGAAGGGGTCAACCACCAGTGCCACCAGTCTGGAAATGCCTGCGTAGGGCGATTTACGCCGGCGCCAGATCGACGAATCGATTGACTGAGTTCTCAGCCGACTCCCAGGCTTCAATCAATTCGCGCCCTGTATTGTTGCCGGCGTGCGCGATTATCCTTGCAGCTGCGAAGTTAAACTCAGCCAAATCGTGTTTTTTGAATAATGTTCAACCAGGCACCTAGTGCCGTTTAGATGAAGACGTCATTTGCACCTTAAAAAGGAAAATGAATTATGAAGGCTGTCCCCGATTCTAACTCGGCGAGATAAAGCGCAAGATAATTTTTCCTTTGATTCTGCCAGTATGGAAGCCTGCAAATAAAGGAGGCAAATTAGGAAAAATATCTCATATAGAAATGGAACATGTACATGGATTACATCGTAATAGAAAAACCCCAAAGGTTTATCGATAACTGTATCATTTGAATAGTTTTATAGCTGCTGTATAAAATAAATTTGAAAAAGATATTTTGGATACGTTGGCATAGGTGTGTACCTATGAAGTAAAACATACTTTAAAACGGTTTTCTGAAAAAAGGCGCAAATGCTTGAAAAGCCTTTTTTAACTAATGAACACAGCAATTGGTCGCAGCCTTGCTTGGTGCATTCATAATAGCAGTATCTGTTGAAATTTTGCCATTTACATCTCGCAAGCGTGATGTTTTGTAATGAAACACTCGGAATTTTGCTTTTAAAGGACTATTCCTTCTCTAATCACTTTCAAAATTAGCCCTGTTCCCCCATTAAAGTGCTTTCAACAACAACCAGTTAGATAAACGAAGTGAGAAAGCGAAACACGTCCCTTTTCTGAGGAAACTGCCCATCTTCGATTCGGATAGAACTAAGAAACAGAACAGAAACTAAAGAGCTTCCCATTCTACCGCAGTACGCACTTACCTGGCAGTTCTAAAGGTGATAATGTCCACTACGTGTCCCACGCGGGGGGCGGCTCCAGCTGCGCCAGCCGCCTGCGCCTTCTTCCACTTTCGGCCTCCTTAACTTCATCATGCATTGTGCCCAGCTGGGAAAGAGTGTGGTAGACGTAACGCAAGTCCACTGTCATTTAAAGCAAATTCACATATAGGTCACTGCGTTTGCCCTTAGCTCCCATGCTCCGCTGCACCGGCACCAAAATACAATAATAGCGATCACTCCGTACATCTGTTTCTCGTAAAAAACATATTGGGAGGTCATCCTTCATTTTGAGAGCAACCGTCCAGTCTCTAATAAAAGGAGTTCTGTCTCCACCTCCTCCATCGAGCTTAAACACAGCTCTGATGAAGAAGGTTACCAAGAAGAAATGAAATATGTTTTTATCAATTACTGTCCAAAATGGATCTTCACGAATTTTTTTGCTTCAGTGCATAAAAGGACAAGAATCCAAAGGAAAAGGAAAAGGCATTTCAAATAGTACGGCCAACGAGGTAGCAAAAACACTGACCTGGCGAACTCCCCTATGCTTAAAAAATGCATCTGAGCTTGTCGAAAGACTACGAAAACACCAGATACAATTGGCACACCAACCTGCAATCACCTTTCGATCACAGTTTGTACACCATAAGGACAGGGTTGACTATCATGAAGTAAAAGATGTTGTCTAAAAGATCCCGCGAACCAGTTGTGATGCAGTTTGTTGTGGCCGAACGGGGAAATGCGCCTTAACCCGCATACACCAACATCAATCAGCGGCTGGAAGACCGTTCCAGAAGGCCTCGCTTACAGACGCCAACCTGCGATATAAACT